GTTCTGGAAAGCTCCTTTATTTTTTATTGAGCACTATATCACTATTCCGCTATACCGCTGTACCGGTATACCGTTAAGATCTTTAATTTCTGAGTTTGCTACAAATTCATTTTAATCTTTACAAAAACCATTTTGCCACAAATTCAGATTACTCATCATATGTCATTATGATTTTTGTAGAGCTTTTAACACCGCATCTTTTGAAAAAAATCAAGATTTTATCATCTGTCTAAGCTGATATGAAGCCAAACTAAAAACATGTTCCATACCTCAAATATGATGAGGAAAGCTGAAAAAATAGTAGCCCCCCCCCCCCCGATATTAGAAGCCCCCTGGGCTTCTAATTTGTCTACCGTTTATAATTTTTGGAGGGGACTTCTATTAAGTCCCAAAACATATTCATATAGTATGCTAAAGAAATTGATTCGGATGGTTTCTAGAGATTTTCAAGGTTTTCATGAGTTTTTCATAAGATTCTTTGCAATTTTTCCAGATTTAAGCACAGTTAGATAGGATTTAGTCGAAATTTCACCTTAAAATTCAGAACTTTTACCGATTTTAGCAGAGAAATTCGAAAAAATTATAAAAAAATTAAAAAATTTTTGGAAAAATTAGGGGGGTTTCTAATACGTCAAACAAGTTGCTCGTTTCAGGGCGGGCTTCTAATACGGGGCAGAGATGGAACCGGTACCGGCAACCGGCCCGGTACCGGTCCGAACTTTAGGCCGTTAACTCTACCGGTATTTGCCGGTCTACCGGTTTCTTACTGCCCTGTTTTCTGCTAAAACCTTCTTTTTCCCGAAAAATAATTTTTTACCGAAAATTTGTCTGTACCCCCTAGAGAGATAAAATATGAACACTGTTAGCAGTCAAATGCAGTATAACATCCGTTCAAGTCGAATCGACTTAACGACTTTTACACTACTGATTTTTACCGGTTTACCGGTTTCTTACCGGTCAAACCGGTAGACCGGCCGGTCCGGGCCGATCTAAAAGTTTTAGATCGGTACCGGTAGCGGTCGTCAAAAAACCGGACCGGTTCCATCTCTGATGTGGGGCGGACTTCTATTATAGGGGTGGGAGGGTTACATGATAGTGTTGTTACTGATCCTTATTCATGGTAGAAGTCATGGATCTGAAACTTTGTTGCTGTTTAGTACTAAGGATGTGCAATCATATTCCAAAGTTTCGAAGAGTTTGCTTTTACTATAAGCGAGAACGATGCATTTTAAAAAATCTTCAGAACTTCTGGAACGCCCTTTAGTTATAAGGGATTAAGGTATCGAAATAAGGGGTTAAATATAGGGGTAAGAAGCTCAATATTGGTATCTTGAGGATATAGGTACCGGAGTAAAGAATATGAGTAAGTGAATAAGGCAAATTGTATTGATGTAGGTGTCGGTACGATCCTCGTCATACTCAACCTTATTTCACGTTTGATAGAAAAATTTTGATACGAAACATTTCCTACAAAACCTTATTTTCGATTTAGTCAAACAGTTTAGTACAAAACCCTTTTTTTTACAGTGGTAATTGCAAATTCCATATTACTATCTCAATATTTTTTCTTTTCAGATTATACTGATAAGCTTTTGATTTTTAATCAAATTTATATAAATATGAAATATTCGTTCTATGTCGTGCGACAGTTATTCAAAACGGCTCAACTATACCCTCAAAAGATAGCTGTAGTGCTTGATGATCAATCATGGACTTACAGCGAGTTAATCGAACAGATCCTACGTGTAGCACAGTATCTGCGTCATTTAAAGATAGCGCAAGGTCAAATTATTTACCAGTTTGTCGAAAGAGGCTTTGAAATGATTTACGGACTGTTTGGCACTATGTGTGCGGGTGGCCTGTACTGCCCATTAAATCCGGCTGATCCACCTGAACGGCTTGTTACACTTCTCGAACAAACACAAGGTCAATATGTTTTAATTCATCAAAAAACACGCGAAAAATTTCCATCAGCAGCTGTTCAACACTTTATTCTATTAGACGATATTCTTCTTCCATGGTTGGATGTTAAGGATATAGGCAATCTTCCAGTTTGTAGTGATGATGATCCTATATACATCATTTGCACTTCAGGTACTACTGGGCGATCAAAAGTAGTAGTTCATACTCATAAGAGTTTTTCGGCTAGTACTGCTGCTTTTATTCATTGGCATATCGACATGTATACATTTCGAGATCAAATTCTACAAGTTGCTACGTGCTCATGGAATTTGCATTTGACAGAAATATCAATGCCACTGGTCAGCGGAGGTACTCTTGTGCTTTTTCGACCAGGTGGACACTTGGATATGGGTTATTTTTGTCAAACTCTGATACATCAACAAGTGACAACACTCACAATCGGTCCTGGAATAATTCGAGCTTTCACCAATTATCTTGAGATAACTCAACGATTAGAAACATTTCAATCTGTGCGCAATTTATGCACGACAGGTAATTGCGAATATTTTTATTCATTTTCAGAATTGTGCTTGTTTTGACGCGTTTTATTATAATTCAGGTGAAACGGTGAAGGCACAAGAATGGATTCGATTTATTTATTTTCTGAGTTCATCCAATGTTCGTGTAATTCCAGAATATGGTATGTCTGAATGCAATGGAGTTCTTGGCTGTCAATTGCTGGACATCACCGATACAGCTGCATATATTGGTTCTCCATTACCAGGTGTTCAGTGTTTACTTATTAATGAACACGGTCAGACAATCAACAATACAGATAATTCAGGTGAAATTGGTCAAGTTTACATAGGAGGTGAGAAATTCAGATTTCAGCCATTGTTCATCATCGTTTTTGATTTTTCCATAGGACCAACTCTTTTCAAATGCTATTTGAATGATCCAGAACTAACTGATAAAATGTTAGTTACTATTGGAAGTCAAGTTTATCTAAGAACGGGCGATTTAGCTAGATATAGTGCACTTGGTGAACTTGTACATGTTGGACGTGTAGATTTTCAATTAAAAGTACGTGGTCAACGAGTGGAAACAGTTGAAATTGAAAATACAATTATTGATTTCTCACCTGACAATATCTCGAATTGTCTTGTCATTAAAATGCCACAAAACGATGATCTACTTATTGCCTATATAATTTCAAATGATTTTGAGCTTCCTATTGAAGAGATTCGAGATTATTGCAATAAACATCTTTCTCAATACAAGGTTCCATCTTATTATGTTGTACTTGATAAATTTCCGTTGAATACAAATGGAAAAATCGACAGAAAACAGCTTCCATTCCCGTCATTACACGGCGATCCAATAGCTAACTTTGTTCAAACTGAAGATCAACCAATGTCGAAATTAGAAGAGGAAGTCCATAGTTTATGGTGTTCCACATTACGACTTGATGTTGTTCCCCGTCATATGAATTGTTTCGCGTTAGGTGGTTCATCTCTTTCAGTGATGCAACTTTTCAACTACTACCAATTTCATCTGGCTCCAGACAAGCAACTCAATGTACTGGATTTTTTTGTTAAACCAACTATTACCGAGCATGCTCGACTCTTAATTAATAATAGCAAGGCACCGGCATACATTTTTTCGAGTCCACTTCATTTAGTACAAGGTATGTTTCTTCTATTAAAAAAAGAAGACTTGAATCTAATTACATGACTTCAAATAGGGATGGCTTCGTCTGCTCAGCAACGTCTTTGGATCGACGAAAAAGTGCGTTTTAATGAATCTGTCAACAGACAAACATCTATTTATAATGAATTACTCGTCTACAAGTTGTCATCAAATACGACATTTTGTACACATCGCCTTCGCCAAGCTCTTATATTTATTGTTGCTAAACATACGATTCTTCGAACAGCTTTGATCTATGATGAAATTGAACTCAAACAGAAAGTACAGCCAACATCAAGTGACCTTTATAGTTTCGAAGTAACATACATAGAAAATGATGATCACTTAAAGCAAATTCTTTATGACGAAGAAACAAATCGATCTTTGTTCGATCTTGAGCAAGGTCGTGTGTTTCGGTGTCATATTCTTCGTCGTTCATCTAATAACAAAGATGATACTAATTTAAAACAAAATGACATTATCCTTTTCAACTTTCATCATACTGCTATCGATGGTAGTTCAATTACAATATTTATTAATGACCTTCGACAAGCTCTTATAAATCAACAATCATCTTATAGCACCGAAGGCAATATCACTTATCTTGATTATGCACAATATGAACGAATGGAAGACTGGTCAAGTGCTAGACAATATTGGAGTAGTGTCCTAACAACATTGAATAATTCATTTGATCAACAAAACTCTTCCGTACGAACGGGTAATGGTTATACTGTAACATTCGATCTTGACTATGATCTTGTCATGAACTTGAATTGTTTTATGTCTCAATCGAATTCTACACTTTTTCAGGTTGGTCTGGCTACTTTCTTTTCGTTTCTTTTCAAAATGAACAACAGCCAGCAGCTTGATTTCTGCACAGGTATAGTTGTTGCCAATAGATCTCAATATCAACTACAAAACATGATCGGCTTTTTTGCCAATACTCTACCATTCTGTCTGAAGATTGATCCGTACGAATCTTTTACCCAACTTTGTTATCGAATTCAACAGTTGTGGCTTGATATTCTTCCACACACACATCTGCCTTACCAGGAAATTGTTAAACTTGATCCAAAATTGGGATCATCATTTCTGCAGACATTTTTTAATGTTTCTAGAATAATAGACAATAGTGAACAAAATATAGAATTGGACAAAGAAACGACGCTTAATATGGTAGATCACAACTTACTGTTTGGGAATACTGCAAAATTTGATATGACCTGTACAATCCATGAACATTGTCAAAACAAGACTATTTATGTTTCTCTTAATGCTTCACTGGATGTTTACGACGAGTCGACCATTTCTATGATGGGAAGTCGTTTAAAGATTATGTTTGAACAACTCTTCTCTGTTCCCTATATACATCAATTTTCTCTTTTACTGCCACATGAAACTAAATTAATACATGATTTAAACGATACTTTTCTCGACTATGCCCAAATTGGTTGTATTCATTGGGATTTTGCATGTCAAGCTCATTTACATCCTCAAAAAGTGGCTTTAGGTTTAGAAAATGGTACGATGACTTATGGAGAACTACTCTACTATGCTCAACAATTAGCAAATCACTTAATTAATAACTGTTCTGTCCGACCAGGTCAAACGGTCTGTCAATTAATAGAACGATCCTTCGAAATGGTGATTGGGATGATAGGCATTTGGATGAGTGGAGGTGTTTATAATCCTTTGAACTTACATGATTCTCAGACACAACGAAACACATGCATTCGGCAGACTGATGCGCATTTTGTTCTTGTCCATCAACGCACGCATGATGAACCTCTATCGGGATGCTCAATAATCAATGTAGATCAAGTTATTGGCTTTACTCAAATGAACAAAGAAGTAGCAACATGTATCGATTCTGTCAATGTGACATCTGAGCATATCTCATGTATTATTTTCACAAGTGATCTATTAGGTTTACCGAAAGCGGTAAGTGAATAGATCAGATTAGTATATAAATATGTGATTGATTTATTCTTCGCATCCAATATAGGTTCAAATTCGTCATCGTAATTTTATTTCATGCAATCGTTCTAACATTATGCAACAGACGGATGTTGTTCTTCATCATACTTCAGTTACTTTCAATGTTCATTTATCAGAAATCGCTGGTGCTCTAATAATGGGTGGCCAAGTAGTTTTGCTTCATCCAAATGGTGACCTTAATATGAAACTCTTTTCTCAAACAATTCATCGTCAGCAAGTGACCATTTTGAATATTGTATCTTCGTCGCTAACTATACTTACTAATTATATACGTATTACAAATAACAATGAGTATTTAAAGACACTTCGGTGTATTTCATTTGCAAGTAAGAACAAATACTAGAACATTTTTCTTCACCAGTTGATTGTTTTTCGCACAACAGGAGAATCCTTGACGAGTAGCAGTATACACAATATTTTGGATTTTGTAAATGAGCACTGTCGCTTCTATAACTGCTATGAATCTGCAGAATGTACAGGAGCAGTGACTCAATATATGATCACTACCAACAAAGATGATGTTGAGTTTCTACCAATTGGACGACCTATGCCGAATACTCACATTTATCTTCTTGATGACTATCTTCAACCTATTATACCTGGTGTTCAAACAGGTCAAATCGTCATTGGAGGTAATTTTTGATTGAATAAAACAAAAACCATCTCATTACTTTGTATACTAATAGGCGTCGGTCTCTTTGCTGGCTACTATGGTCGTGAAGATCTCACACATGCAGTACTATGCGAGTTCACTGGTGAAGTTTGCTATAAAACAGGCGACTTGGGTTGGCTTAATACCGCAAACGGACAGCTTGAATTTCGAGGACATCGAGATCATCATGCGAAACTGAGAAGTCAGCCAATAGAACTAGAAAAAGTTGAAGCAATTTTGATGGAGATGGCTACCTGTTGTGCCGTTATTAAAGCAAAATATGAAGAGGCTGACTATCTCGTAGCATATGTTCAGACAACACATACTATTCAAGATTTGAAACAGCATTGTGTAGCTCGTCTTCCATTTTATATGATACCATCTATTTTTATGATTTGTGATATCTTACCTGTCGATCAAAATGGATCAATCAATCAAAAAGATCTACCACCACCTGACTTTACCCGTTTATCAATATTGTCAAATGAAAACATAGTGCCACGAACAGAAATGGAACAACGGGTGTACAAAATATGGCATCAAGCACTTGCTAATGTTGACTCAATACCTTCCATCTTAACATCGTTCTTTTCTCTCGGAGACGACCCTGAATCGTTTATAAAATTGTTTTGTCTATATTCAACCAATTTTAAACATACTGTCCCAATCACTACGTTTCTCCAACAGCCAACTATTGCTGAACATGCTCGTCTTTTGATCGAAAATGCGACTTTAGAGACAACATGTGATCGATCTCACTCGATCGACATTACAGAATGTGAGTAAAATTTTCGTTTACACTTTTTTTCGATGCTTTTATCGATTGAATTGTATTCTTGGCATTACCTCACAAGAAACTTTATTCGAATTCTAATTCACTTGTCCCCGCACTAAAAGGTGTTGAAATGTGATGTGACAAGATAGGCAGATAAGACCATCTTGGTTTACACCTCTGACTGAAATTAAAAGATATGTTACAAGGGAAAATCCGAATGTTTTTGAACTTTATAATTAGAAATCAATTGAAAGTAAAAGTAGATTACAGTTCAGAAGTCAGAACTGTGAAGAACACAAATAATATTCATCGAATGCATATTCACTTTACCGTAGACTGCCGAGTATTAAATGCATTTGACTGATCAAAGAACTGGAGATCTTGAAACAAAAACAAATTAAAAAACTAATCGCTAAGCTTTCGTAGCTCCGTTTTCTAGGCACCGATGGCATTTATGAAAACCATGAAGTCTCTCTATCGTTCATAGTTAAAATATCATTAACTGACAAACTGAAAAGGAATTTAGATTTAAATACAGAGATATTTTGTCTTTATGCTAGAACAGCCTAAAAACATTTATCAACGTCAGCTGTATATACAATACAAAAGATTCTTTATCCAAGACATCATCTAGAGAGTACTCCATTCAAGAGAGGGTGTGGGTACTATATCCGTCACAAACCTACACTCCGACTCAGACCTACACCTCAGATTCACAACTCACACCCACCCCCATACCACTCCCAAACCCACCTCACATCCATACCACACCCACACTCTCAAGATCATTGATACGAGTCAACTAGAATTTGGTATCGGCAGTTTTGTAGAGCTTTTCAATGCGCATCTTTTAAAAAAAGATCAAGGTTCTATCATTTACCTATGCCGAGACATATGCAAAATACAAAATGTCGCAAAACTTTTGGAACACCCGGTATATAATACTATTAAGGCGCGTAAAAAGTCATAGATTAAGATTGTTCTGTCAAATTCCATAGAGATTGACAATATCCATCTATTGTTTAAGTAGAACCGGATAGTATTCGATAGTACACCTTTCTCTCTGGAAGTGTTAAAATAGTTTTTTCTACTGCTAACACAAAATAGTGAGCCGACATTCGTACTATATTATTCAATAAATAGCTGTTTATCTCTAATAAATCGTTATTCTTAGTATTTTAGAAATTCACATTGCATCTCAAAATTTTCATTTGTTCGATAGTAATGCAAGCTAGATTCACTTATGTATCATTTTTAGTCAGTCAAATCGAGTATCATCAATAGGAAGAGAAGAGCAGACAGAGAAGAAGAGAAGATCAAAAAGATCAAAAAGATCAAAGAGATAGCAGAAAAATTTATGAGCGACGTGATTGTTAAGTAGTGTACATATATTTGAAGGTGAAAAACAATATACATTAATTTTTCTTGGCCACAACGCCAGCTAGATTGTTGTCAAAAAGTAATGTGTGAGTATGGCTCAATAGATCAGAAATGACTAGAATATTGTTATCAAACACCGTTTGAACATCCAGCTTTTACAGTATAATTAACTAACGAGGGAACGTCCCCAAGTATGAGTCTCCGTTTTGGATCGGAGGTATACCAATTGACAGAGCTCAATGAGATTATCAAAAGTCTAAAAGGGTTCATCCTCATGCTCGGTGCTTCTTGAGTTCTGGCTGTTTTATAGAATTTTCGACCTCTAGCAATGCACATATAAAGCAAACAAAATTATGGAGTTTTGAGCTAAAAGTTTGAACACAGATAGCTCTCATGCCCATTAGAATATCCTAAAATTTTCAACCCGAAATAATGTTTCCTTCTTGAGATATTGAATATCTGGAAAACGATCATGTGCTACAAGCAAAGGTCAGAAAATCAGGTGACTTCAATGTCCAATATCTCAAGAAAGAAACATTATTTCGGGCTGAAAATTTTAGGACATTCTGATGGGCATGAGAGCTATCTGTGGTCAAAATTTCAGCTCAAAACTTCGTAACTTTGTTTGCTTTATATGTGCATTGCCAGAGGTCGAAAATTCAATAAAACGGCCAGAACTCAAGAAGCACCGAGCATGAGGATGAACCCTTTTAGACTTTTGCTAATCTTATTGAGCTCTATCAATTAGTACACCTTCGATCCAAACGGAGACTCACATTTTGGGACCTCCCTTCGTAACCTTTCATCATTCTAGCACCAGCATCATTTGCACAAGCTCGTATCTGGTGTGACGAAAGAATTCGATTCGATCCTGACAAGCCTCAAATAGCAATATACAATGTACCTTTTGTTTATCGTCTTCAATCAACTCATACTTTATCGATTAAACAACTTCGTCATGCTCTTCATCTCACTGTTAACAAACATCCCTCACTTCATACATCGCTTCATTTCGACCCCGAAAAGAATCTACTTATGCAACGAGTTATTACTCATGAAGATGAATATACAAATAGTATGTTTTCAATCATCGAAACTAATTATGAAACAAGTGAACAACTCAATGAGATTTTACACGACGAGAAACGTAATCCTCATCTTTTTGATCTTGCGCAAGGTCTCGTCTTTCGATGTCATATTATTTATTATAAAAAAATATCTTCAAATGATCTACTTTCTGATAAAGATGTACTTATCTTCAACTTTCATCATGCTTCATTTGATTTTCCATCGATGGAAGTATTTCATCATGATCTCAGTCAAGCATACACAACAGGTCAACTATCTTTCAATGATGGCAACACTCTTCTACGTTACATCGATTGTAAATATAAATACTACTTCTACTTCTTTATTTCCTAATACATTATTTTTCTTTGATTATATAGATGCTGTTATTGAACAACAAATGTCAATGACTGGTGCAAGAATGTTTTGGCTTGATGCTCTTCATGATTGTAAACTCGATCAACCTTTATCATTACCATTTGATCGATATCATCTCTCAAATGAACATCGAACTAGTCGTGGGACATCTGTCTCTTTTGACTTTGGTCAAGATCTCTCACAACACTTTCTTAATCATGCATCATCAGATAACATATCACTTGAACATCTCACATTTGCTATTTATTTCATCTTTCTGTTTAAACTGACGAATGGACAAACAGATCTATGTATTGCTATGAACATCAATAATAATCGATATAGAGATGAATTCAAATCAATCATTGGTTTGTTTGAGAATGTCATCCCATTACGATGTCAATTAGATCCTCAATGGTGTTTTCCTCAATTACTCGAACATATTCAAGAGATAAAAACAAATAGTATGAAATATTCATACTTCCCACTTCAACGTATTCTCAATCAACATCCACATATTTCAAAACATGCATTTTTAGATACATCTCTGGAATTTATATCCTGTACGAGCAACAATTCAATCATGATTGGTGATTCTCAACTTGTTCCAAGATCTCTCTCATTCAACATTAATGAAGATGAGATACTGAGTGCACGTGACTTCTCTCTTTCTATTTATCATGATATGAACATCAATCAACTGTCATGCACAATCAATGCATCACTTGACTTGTTTAATAGAGAGACAGTAGAGAAGATTTCACAACGATTTCATTCTATCTTACATCAATTATCTACATCTATGATTGATAATCAAATGAACAAATCAATGTATGAATTATCATTAATATTATCAAACGAGCGATATCTAATGCAATCATTGAACAATACACACATATCATTTCCATCTCCACTCACTTGTATTCATCATGAATTTGTATATCAAGTAATGAAACATCCACAAAAACTAGCAGTTGAACTTGATGAACAATCACTGACATATTGTGAACTATTACACTATGTTCAAGTCTTATCTTTATCTCTTCTTAGTGATTATCTTATTACTCCAGGTGAGATAGTTTGTCAATGTGTTGAGAGAAGTTTGTCAATGGTAAGTTACTTAAGACGAGTAATATTTAATATGAGTTTGAGATTGATTTTTGATTAGGTGATTGGTATTATGGCAATTGAAATGGCTGGTGGTGTTTATTGTCCTTTATCACCTCGAGATCCACAACATCGTTTGCATGCACTCACACAACAAACGCAAAGTCGTCTTGTTCTTGTTCATCATTTAACTAAGATCAAATTCGATGATGATGTAGTTTCACTTAATATTGATTCAATATTAAATGTTAATAATATGGTTAGTGACATGAATTATAATTGCCTTTCAAGTTGGATAATGAAAGGTGAAGAGATAGCGTATATTATCTTTACTAGTGGCTCATCTGGAATTCCGAAAGCGGTACGTTAGAAAGATTGTCACATAATGTAAATTTGACTGTGGAAGTTTTTTTTTCTAGGTTCAACTAAGACAGCAGAATTTCATCAATTCAATAATAGCTTTGGTTCAGATTAATACACTACACGAAAGTGACATTGTAATTCAAATAGCTAGTTCAACCTTTGACGCGCATGTACAGGAAATTGTGGGATCTCTAATCTGTGGTGCAACAATAGTCATGCTACATCCACAGGGTAATATGGATTTTCAATACCTCAACCATATTTTACATCACAAACAAGTGACATATCTGGTAGCGGTTCCGAGTTATCTCAGTCATTTATGTGACTTTCTTAAACAAAATAGATTCCATCCATGGATGCTAATGAGAAATATTTGCTGCGTCGGTAAGTTGAGCAAGAGCACGGGAAATAAAATAAATATTGATTAATTTATCAACTTAGGTGAATCTATGTCATCAGCTTTCATCAAAATACTAATGCAGTTTGTTGCCCAATCTTGCCGAATTTGGAATTTATATGGGCCTGCGGAAGCCACACTTGGAACTTCATGTCACCTAATTGATGTCATCGCTGACATGCATGATCTTCCAATTGGTAAACCATTACCTCGTTACATGTGCTTAGTTCTAAACAATTACTTGCAACCTGTTATGATTCAGAAAGAAGGCGAAATACTAGTGGGAGGACTAGGTGTCTTTGCTGGTTATCTTGGACGTAATGATTTGACAGCAAAAGCTCTTATCGAAATAGATGATGAACTATTTTATCGAACAGGTGATCTTGTGAGAATGGATAACAATGGTCTTCTTCATTATCAAGGAAGAAAAGATCATCAAATCAAACTACATGGACAACGAATTGAACTTGGTGAAATCAAACGATGTTTACTTAGCATGACAACTATTTCTGCCTGTGTTGTCATGAAATGGAAAGATGATTATTTAGTTGCTTATGTTCAATCTTCTCATATCAATGAAGAACAAATACGTCAACATTGTCAATCTCATCTTCCACCCCATATGATTCCATCCATATTTATTATACTCGATAAACTACCTTTGAATTCGAATGGAAAAATAGATCGAAAACTTCTTCCACCACCTCACTTCTCATCTATACATCTCACAGACAGTTTACAACTATTACTACCCACAAATGATATTGAAGTCAGTATTCATCATATTTGGTGTGAGATATTAAAACAAAACCACATCTCAGCTGATACAAATATATTTACTATTGGTGGTCATTCATTACTTATAATGCAAATTTTTCATCGATACAAGATCGAATTTCATTTACAAACAAATACTCTTTCAATATCTAATCTATTTCAACAACCAACAATTATTCATCATGCTCAACTCATTCAGCAATCTATCAATACTATTCACACTCTGGATGATTATGCTTGGTCTTCATTACATCTCATTCAAGGTAAACAAAACAATTTGTACTAGATATTATTATCAGGTACATATTCATCTTTTTTTCATTCTAGCTCCAGCATCATTTGCTCAAGAACGAATCTTTCTGGATGAACAAATTCGTTTTCCATCTAAACATCACAATTTCATGTATGTTATTCCACTAGTTTATCGTATTTTGTCGACTAACAATCATTTATCGATTGATCGATTACATCGAGCACTACACACAGTTGTCGCAAAACATCGTGTTTTACGTACAGGATTTTATCTCGATATAAATGGTATGATCATACAACATTGCCTTGATATCAATGCTACGATCAATGATCAAGAACCATATGGTTTTTCGGTAGTCGATATTGACAGCGATGTTGAAAGTAACGAAGTAGCCAAAAAAATAATAAGTCGTTCTGACTTATTTGATTTGTCGAAAGGACGTGTTCTGAATTGTCATATTGTCCATCGTCATGACTTCAACGATTTATCTTATAATAAGGATACGTTGGTTATGGGTGATTTAATCATATTCTTAATTCATCATATAGTATTCGATGGAGCATCAGTATCAACTTTTCTTAACGATCTTTCTCTTGCTTATACAAATGATTGTATGTTACATGTTGATGAAAACGCCATTCAATGTATCGATAGTACCGTATATGAACGTTTAATGGATATGACACAATCGCATGAATTTTGGAATTCTCAGTTGAAGGATTATAACTTCACACGTTCATTATCATTGCCTGTTGATCGATATTGTTTGTCCACCGATTATCGATCAGGTTTACATTTTTTCACTGAAATATGTTTCGATGACGATATTTCGACAGCATTTTTAGAATATGCTACTTTACATCATATAACACCTTTTCAGTTAGCAATGAGTATATTTTATGCATTTCTATTTAAATTAACTGACGGACAAGATGATTTATGCTTTAGTTGTTTACATGCCAATCGATACAGAACTGAATTACAAAATATAATTGGAATGTTTGTTGCAACATTACCATTTCGGATTCAAATTAATTCGCACTGGTCGTTTGAGAACCTTGCTAAACATGCTCAAGAAAATTGTTTATCAATTTTTCAACATACTCATTATCCATTGCAACACATTCTTGCTGATTTTCGACGTAACTATTCAAATGTTTCTTTTCTTGATATTTTATTTGAACTTGTCACTGTATCTCCTGATATCAATAAATTATCTTTGGATGGGTCAAACTTAAAACAAGTATCCCTTGAACGATTATGTGAAGCAGTATTATTTGATGTAGATGTGATATTTGTATACGATCCAACAGTTGAAACTGGAAAGTTATCATGTTATGTTTATGGCTCACGTGATGTATTTGATGAAACTACAGTTAATAAAATAGGTCGAAAACTTCAAGCTGTATTTTCTCAGATATTTACAACAAAGTCAAGAGTTAATCAGATTGATAAACTGTCTCTTGCTCTACCAGATGAAATTGAAGTAATGCAAAAAGTAACATTTCATCATTTATCCGACATTAATAACAAAGGTATGTTAAATTATTTGAATAATAATTACGGGGTTCTGGAAACTGATAAATAAGATTTTTGGTAATTGTCACAAAACAATATTGATGTAACGAGGTCAGAAAGTCTTATTGACAAAGATTTAGAACCCCCGTGTCGACTTTATTTGTACGAATATAATACTTTTTGATTAAAAATAAAATATATTTATAGATTATCAAATCAAGTCACATGGACAACGTATTGAACTTGGTGAAATTGAACAGTGTTTACTCAATACATCAATATCAGCATGTGTTGTTATGAAATGGGATGATGATCGTTTAATTGCTTATGTCGAAAGTTGTGATATGACAGAAAAAGAACTGTATGAATATTGCCAATCTCATTTACCTTTTTATATGATTCCATCGATGTTTATTATACTTGAAAATTTACCTAGAAATAATGATGGAACAGTAGATCAAGACTTACTTCGAAAATCTCATCTAGCGACTATGATTAAGACTGATTCTTTATTATTAATACAATTAGAAGCACGTCTACTTCACATATTCAGTCAGGCACTTGGTTGTGAATCTCCGGATGTAACCCAGCCCTTTAGTGAGATGGGTGGGACATCATTAGATGTTTTACGAATGCTCTCTCTCATTCAAAAAGATATTTGCCCTATAATCAATGGATCTCACTTATTTGCTAATCCATCGATTCAAAAACTTACACGAACGATCGAATCATTGTTAGCTATTTCAAATAAGGTAACATTTGATTGATTTACATACTCACCTTTAATTAATTCGTTTGTTTTGTAGATTACTTTACCCTTCATGGAATCAATTCCACTTACTCCATATGTACCTTTAAGAGTGGCTATTATTGGTTGTGATATTGGTGGTCTATCCGCTGCTATTGCTTTGCGCAGACATGGCCACGAAGTCACTGTCTATGAACACGCACATTTTGCTAGTGAAGTCGGTGCATCAGTTTCTATTGCCGCAAATGGAACCAAATTTCTCGAAGAATGGGGTATCAACACTGTTGCTGGAAGGTTAGTACTATTATGATAACAAAAATCTATCATGTAAATTTTCCTTCTAGATCTGTCATTCTACAAAAACTAATTATGCGCAATTGGACAGATGGTACAATCAACGATGTTTATAATTTGAGTGATTATAAAGAAAAGTGGGGTTATGTATACAATGCGTTTCATCGAACTGATCTGCATGAACAACTACATATAAAAGCTAAGGCTTTAGGAGTAATGATTGTTATAGATCATAAAGCAATTGATGTTGATTGTGTTAATCGTACTGTAACATTCGATACAGGTAGTAAAATATCTGTCGATTTGATTATTGGTGCTGATGGCATTCGTTCAACAGTACGCAGTTTGATTGGTATTGTAGCAAAAATGACACCGTCAACAAGTGCTTGTCACCGTTGTAGTATTCCCACATCACGCGTAAAGCAACTTGGCCTGAAGGATTTTTCACCTAACAGTGCAATTGAATTTTGGGGTGGTTTCGACATTAACAAGATTGTTTTAGCCCCTTGCTGTGCAGGTGAGATTATATCATTCTATTGCTTTTCTCCACCTTCTTATAATCATCAAAGTGAAGAGGGTTGGAATTTCAGTGCCACACCATCAATGCTCATTGAGCGTTTTCCTGATCTTGATCCAGATTTATTGGCAATTTTCAAGCATTGTGAAGATATCAAGTTGTGGAAGTTGGCTATCCATGAACCATATCCATATTGGGTAAAGGGCTGTGTAGCATTGCTTGGGGATGCTGCACATCCAATGCTACCTGATCAAAGCCAGGGGGTATGTATGGAGATTGAAGATGCAGCTGCACTAGGTATTATATTCTCACCTAAATATTGGGGCAATAAAATACTCACGGTCGAGCGTGGCTTAAAGATGTATGAATTGTTAAGAAAAACAAGAGCAACACGAGTTCAAGAGACCAGTGTGCGTGTGCCAGAAAACTTCAATGAAAAAATTGGTTGGAGCTCACAAGGAAATCATGATGCCCAACAGAGTGCAGCAACAAAATTAACCATTGATGAAATCAACGCTTATGACATGCAGAAACATCTAGACGATCTTCTTAACTAGGATGTAGATCTCACTTACACTCATAATCACATCCAAATTCTTCACTTGTGAAAACAAAGTAATCTCGAACCTGCAATCTTATTTCTTTTGAATAAAATACTTTTTACCAAAACAACCATCTTGAGGGTGTGTGTGTGTAGGTGTGAGTGTGGGTATGGGCTGAGCGATTATAGGCACGAACATACACACTCACACTTGTAACATGTAAAAATCAAGACGAACGATGATTGGCGACTAATCTTGAGGGTGTGGGCGAGGGTGTAGTGTCGGTGTATGATAGGTGTAGCTGTGGGTTGGGTTGAAAGAGTTACCCACACCCTCAAATTACTGAGGTATATTTTATTTTTAAATAAAACGCATTTATAAATTAAAGGGTGTGAGTGTGGCTGAGTGTGGATGTGAGTCAGTGGGGAGTTAAAACTAGGGTAGTTATAACTCGGGTTATAAATTTTTGAGTATTAACCGATCAACTTTTTGGCCAAAAAGTTAATTGAGTTGTAACTATCAACCGTAGTTGTAACTACCAATCACGGTTATAACCTTTAACTTGAGTTATAACCTTCAACCACAGTTATAACCATCAACTGCATCAATTTTGTCTCTAAATACTAGTTAGATTGAGGGTGGGTGTGAATGTCAATGAATAGAAGACTATGTTACACCCACACCCTGCGGCAAATAATTAGCCGAAAATGAAACTTCTTCCGTAAAAACGTTTAATTACTAGAACGTACTTTCTGAGCTTATGAATAGATTCTAGAAACCAGAAGAACATAACCTAACAATAAATATTCATAAAAGATAGTATTAGGGTAACCGATATTTTTCGACTCATTGAGAGCGTGTGTGAGTCTAAATATTCTCTTCCTCCACCCACACTTGAGGGTGAGGGTGGGTGTGGGTGTGGGTGGGTGTGGTTGTGCGTGAGGTTTGGGTGTGGATAGAAATGAAAAATAGAATACTCACATCCACACCCATCACTTCTTGATGTGCTATAACTATGATTACTGATTACCTCAATGATCAAAAATAAAGTCATAATCGTTTCGTATAGCTTTTCCTATTATAATGGCTCTTTAGAGCCAGGTACACAAACCCAGCACAAAAATTAACTAAGGATTGCGACAATGCACATGAAAAAGCACTAGTGCTTTACAACTATTATCCCATAACTAAGTGTAACTTAATGATAGTAACAGCTCGGAAAGATTTACAACCATAAAACTTTATAAAAAAAGCTTTCAAAGAAAACTTTACATTTATAAACATCTTTTACATGGTATATTAGCCATATTTTTTTAAGTCTATATTCAAATTTATTTTCAAATCAATCATTATTGTAGCATAACTTAGTTTATTAGATATATAAGTAAAATCTTGGTTATATTTAATCTGAATAAAATATTGAATTATCACCAACGAACAGTGAGTTTAGTATTCATTTGCAATGTTTCACTTGTGTGTTGCTGTGCTTCTGGACGAATTCGGTTTTGTTGTATGAATAAGTCAGTGAGAGTCTATAATCAAAGAACAATCAATCGAGAGATACTGAGGACAATGAAATAAGTATTTTACTTTGTTTTTCGTAAGAGTATCAGCAAGATCTTTCACTCCTTGATCACCAATTTGATTCTGACTGAGGGAAAGACGAATGAGTGTCTGTTTTGCATAAAAGAATAGCAAAAGATGCATAAATGAGAATAAAGTTAGTATATTACTTTGTTTTTCGGGAGAGCATCAGCAAGATATTTGACTCCTTCATCATCGATTTGATTCTGGTCGAGGTAGAGATGAGTGAGTGCTTGTTTATCAAGGGCGGGCCACCAGTTGAAAATTGGTAGCAATTGCCATACCCAAAAAAATTAAATATAATATTTGTTTATATATATAATTAAGAGCTATTGAATGAAAAAGAACTTTAGGATTTAACAAAATATTATTTAACTAGCTGTGATGATTTAAAAGCTAAACAATGATTTTACCAAACTAAGATAATGATCAGAGTGTAAATTTATCAGACTCAACTATATTCATTCTGGAAAACAATTTCCACACGGCATTGTCATCTATGAATGAATTATGTAGAATTCTTTGGACTATACCAATGAATTCGTATAAATGTGAACGAAGTTTCTCGTCGTTAAAAAGATTAAAAACTTATTTAAGAAATAGTATGGCACAAGAAAGATTGTCAGGCGTCGCCTTTTTGAATATTCAAAAAGATTTTGAAATTAGTATGAATCAAATAGTAACAGATTTTGTTGCACAAAAAAGATGGGAAAAAAATAATTTTTGAAATAAATGTCTTTTTAACTGATATGTTTTTTATTCACTTTATTTCAAAAGAGGGAAAATCCAAACCAATAGATTACATTAGAAAAAAGACAGCTTCGTTTGTAGTATGAATGTAGGTAGTAGATACGTAGTATTTTTATAACGTTGAAAAACACTCTTTTTATCATAGTAAGGTATTAGAGCTTATTGCTATACCTATATTTGAGCCGCCTGCCGGTCACTGAAAAGGAGTAGTGAAAACTATGATAAAGAAAAACATAGAGTGGTTGCACTATTACGTTAGTCTGTGTTAAAAAATGTTCGATGAAATAAAATGGATCTCTGATGCGTGTAGTATACTTTGTATTGATACCGTTCATAAAAGGTACAGACGAGTCGCTGATTTATTGTACAGACGAAATTTAATGTATCAGTTCGACTGTAAATGGTACATCTGTAATTTTTTTCAATTTGAAACGAACGGTATGGGTGTTGAATGGTAAAAATACTAAAAATTGACTATAGTATATTTCTCTTTCGATCTAATTTTCACTATGAATCAAAATCATTTGTCAGATAATGACGTAATAGATAGGCTTCAAGACATTAATTTTCATTAAATATCATAACTTCTTTCGATTATTAAAAACATTTCAACGAGAAGTATGGTGAAATAACTGACGTTATTTAAAATTAACCATCTGATCATTTTGTCAAAGAAAGATAGTTTGCTTACTGTAGTTTTTCGTAGTACATCAGCTATAACCTTCATATCATGATAAATTAACTGTTTATTATGCAGATAAAGTGTTTGACATGTTCCGTTAGCTTTGATTAATTTTTCGAGTTCAGGATTATTATATTCGACATATTGTCCATGTTTTAGTATTTCTTCCTTGAGTTGTCGCAGTTGGTTTAATCCTTGCGAATGGTAGAAAATTCTTTTAGGTATCGGCAATGATTGTAGTGTATTATTTGTTTTTTTCAGATAGTCATCAAATCCTTCTTTAGCTTTTAATAATTTTGTATGATCTTTGATAATGAGAAGCATGTCTAATATTGCCTTTCTCAAATTCAAAAATTATAGTTGATTTGTAAGCGGAATGTTAAAAATTTCAATCTCTTTCTTTTTTTTGTTTCGATATTAATAATTTCTTGAACTATTGTTTTCTCACGATCATCAATCATCTGCCGTAGTAATGACATAGTCTCTTTAACCATTTTGATATTTACATCCATATCATTATCAACTTTAGTTACTAATTCATGCACTAGATTTATTCTGGAATCTAATGACTTTTGAATACTTTCCAGTTCATTGCGTATCTGGATAACACAAGAAAAAAATGATGTATCATCTCTTGTTTAATAAAATAAACAAATCTCATTTCTAACCTTTATTTTTGTTTCATCTACGACGTCTTTCATCAAAGTATACTCATGATCTTTGTGTTGAAGTAGAACACAGTCCCTACAGATAGTTGCATTGCATTTCCGACACTAAAATCTAAATTTTTCGTCTGGATGTGTTTCGCGCGAAGTCGTTATAGATGGTCTATCATGAATTGAGATTCGCTGATGTTTTTACATTATTCGTAACATATGAATATCTTGGTAGCATTTTGAACAAAATCTTTCGCTTTCACATCTATTACATGCATATTCAGCTGTACCAGTGTCGCAATTTGTACATTGTTTTAAACTTTGTACAGAACCTTATATTGAAAACGAATAAAGAGAATTAGTTTATTCCAAATAGCAAAAGAAATGAACGAGCATTTAACGTACCGTATAATTGAATCAACTGAAGCATAATTTGATTAGTAGGTAATGTGTTAATATTATTTTTGGTAACTAAAGTTCCATCATGTAAGGAACATTCAAATTGATCTTCATTGTTAGAAGCTACTTGCTCCATACATTTGCCGCAATAAATATGCGAGCATGGTAACAGGCGCGGATCGTCAAAATGCTTGTGACAAATTGAACAAGTAATCAATTCTTCGACTGAACTTGTGCAATTGGATGCCATATCAATGATTTTAAATCTATATATACAGTCAATGAAGTCTCATCTATGTCTAGTACTAATAAGACGCAGAATTTTGTGTAGAAAAATCAAAGAAATACGGTATTATAAAGAAAAAATACTGAACATGTCCTTTTTTATATATATTCTTTGTATTAAGGAAAAATCTTGTGTCTAGTTTTGTAAACTTCAACATAATACTTCAATATGTTTATCAGAAGTTGCATAATATTTTTATGAACTATAGGTATTACAATTTGAATTTAATGTCTTTATTAAAATATACATATGATTAGAAATGAAATTTACTTTCAATCGAATTATAAATATTCGTGAGAGTATATACATCCTCAAGAGAATAGTTACCAACCGACTTTTTAACGTATATACTTAACTGTATTTAAACATATATTTTCTTACCTTAATAAAAAGAGATAATAATTTCGACAGAACTTTTTTTTGTAGTGCTTATAAAGATTTCAGAAAGACATCTATCAATATATTTATACGGCTAGTTCCGTGCACTGATAAGAGAGAGAAATGTATCAAAACATTCTTTTTGTTTGATCATATTATAGATAACAGTATTTTTATTTACAACTACTTTCTGCCACGTATATGATACCTTTGTGTCGAATTTTGCCTACTAAAAGTAAATAATCTGCTTATCATACGATAAGAAATTAAAAAGTAACGTTGACGAATCATCGAATATTATCTTCAGTAAATATAATTAGGGGAGTAATGCGAAGTAGTCAATACCAACATACAAAATAAGAACATACTATTTTACATAAAAGCTGACTAATATATTATGATACTAAAATAGAAAGCAAGATACCAGTTCTATATACCATCTGTTTTTTACAAAATCGAATATTTTTTAATAATCTTCAAATAATTATTTATTATTACAATTAAATTAACATCTCATTCGTACGAACTGTTCTCAGTTGTTAGATTGCATCAATATGGATATAATTTAAAAAAATATTTTGCCAACCAAATATTTTTAATATTATTGAATCAAAAACGTAATACACGTTACTCACAATCACATGGATTTAATATCTATTGCCTACTTTAAAATGATTTACTAACATTATTAAATAACGTATATGTACCAAATAAAACATCAAAATACATCGCACTATTTTGTATTATCAAAAGTAAATATCCTTTTTTACTTGTAATGTAACAGTTTATATTGATGAATAAAACACAACTTCGAAATTAAATATATATTTATCTATTAGTCATCGAATGCAAGGTTTCTTTCTTATCTATTGAAAAATAATGATTCTAATTTTCGAATATCATGAAAAAATCTAAAATTGTTCGTTACTCCTTGTGAAAATGATACAGGTGTTAGATACCATTTTCTATTAAATTATTTACTCGTATCTTAATACGAAACTTCCATACTTTAAGTTATTTTTAAAATAAATGATAATACAAAAATATTATGGTATCATTGCGTATTTATTTATTTTTTTGAAGAGAAAAAAAAGAAGAATTCGCATAACAAATTTATTAGTTGCTGTTTTTATTTGTATAGATGAATCCATGATCCTACAAGGAAATATATTAAAAGATATAATTGAAGAAAAAAAAAATAGAATTATCTTACATTATGCGGACAGTGAAGTGTATCTGCTAAATTCCATAAATGTGTCTTTTTTCCAACTGGTTCCATCTATATATAAATAAAATATATACTTAGAAAAAAGTATTCTTAAAAAAACAAACCATATTATTCCAAAGTTCAATAGCAGCTGCTTCATGACCTTTTTGACTGAAGTGGAAACAATCTGGAGCAAAATATGAGAAGTCAGCTAAACCGGCAGGCTATAATACAAAAACTCATTTATAAATAATTTGTTAAAAGCAAAAATAATCTCTTTACTGTTGAAGGAACTTTCATATGTTCCATATATGGTTGAACAACAATTGTAAAATCATCTTTGCTGTTGTACCAACTTTCATCTTGCAATAATTCATTAGTTGCTTTTTGATATGCAAGATTATGTGCACGAACTATTTCACGTGTGTCTTTGTTAATAGCACAATCACATAAGAATCTATAGAAAGGAGAAGAAGAGTGTATCACATGAAAATCTTAATATTTTTAAATACATACAATTGCATATTTTGACAAACAAGACCTTCATGTAAATCTTCAAGTTCAGCAACATTGAGAACAGTAATGTAGTTAACAATAGTACGTGGCATGTTATCACGTAATATTTCGAGTGTTCGTCTGACATTTTTGACAAAGTTTGATGCAGTATATACTGTCTATATAAAGAATATGAAAATTATAAATCATACATTAAGCATTATAAACTATAAATACGTACATTAGCTTTGCAAGAATCGCAAAGATCATTACCACCAATAAAGAATGTGACTAATTTCCATTCTGTATCAAATCTTGCACCTAAGGTAGTTTTCATTTTGTTGACTAATAGTTCAGCTTGTGCTGGCATATCGCTATAATGCAAAGAATTAAAATATTTTTCGATAAAAATTCAAATCTTACTTTGAAACAGCACCTGCTTTAGCAACATTAAAATTAGCAGTTTTTGAATTGTGATCACCAGTACCAGTCGAGAATCCATTGAGTTTGGAATTGAATCTACGCATGATATCTAATTCAAACGTTATAAAAAAATCTGTAAGAAATAAACATACTTGGTAAAGTAATAACTGAATCAAGATTTCCATCACCACCGATGCTAAAATATTAAAAACACAAAAAAATGAAAAATATAATTACATTAGTTCTCATACCAATATGAAACACCACGATAATTAATGAGAACACCGACAATTGTAAAAGCCTTAGCACCATTGGCTGCCTAGAATAAAAAAAAATATGAGATAATTTTCTTTTCTTTTGTATGGTAAAATTTACAGTTAAACTGTCACCCAAAGCAGCGACAATTTGAATATCAGCAACACGTAAAGCATGAACTAAAAATTATTAAGGATGAAAATATATTAGAGCACAAAAGATAGAACAATACCTGATGTTGGAACTTGTGCTGATGGTTCTAATGTTTTGCATGGAAACTCCACACGACTACCAACAGAAGCCAAAGGACCCTATAGAAATAATTTTCAATTTAAATTTAACAAAATTCATTTGTTTCTACCAAAAGTCTCATTCGTTCAGCTGGTGTATGTTCCCATCGTGGTACTACAGCGACAGCAGTGGCGTAAGCTATTATCAAAACATTTATAAATTCAGTGAAATTAATGTATCAATCTTACTGAATGTTAACAGAAAGCTTATATACGATACCAACATTGTTATGGTAGTAAATAGAGAAAAGGGAAAGATAGACCGAGCTTCTAAATTTCATGTCCTTTTATACGATGATAAATGTATCTTATATCACATATGGTCAATATTCCCATGCACGCCTTAAAAATATCTGTAGGCGTGTAATGACTAATTTTTTATTAATAGTCCTTGATTTACTTTTATTTTTTTTACTCTACATATACATACAATATGAAAAAAAA